GTAGAGTCCTCTAGTGCGGCGTTTTCTTTTCGCTTCGGTATCGGTATCAGGGATGGTGTGCCTGGCCAAAGACAGGTTGAAGAATGTAGTGTAGAACTCGACTTCCCGTGCATAAAGTTTTTTTTAGCATCAGCATTGACCAATGGATTTTGGCGATTGTTTCAACATCAACATAGGGATGCTGTCTAGCCAATGGTTTTCGGCTATTAAGCTTTCGTTATGGTTTCCCTAAACTCCTTGAACTGGATTGTGGCTCATCCTTGCAAAGCTTGTGCATTTTTCGAAGGGTTTTGCGTTCGGCTGTGTCTCTCTCAGTCTTACCGATGCACTAATAATGTACACTTGTGCTTATGTTCGTTAACAATGCACCGTATATCCTAATTAGATTCCTTGGTTCTAAGGTAATAAGGAGGCTATCGTATTCAAGGTTGACTTACTTAGCTTCTGCTTATGGCGGAGGTAGCTGGGGCAAATAATAGACTTTGAACAGCAACGGAGGTATACATTCAATACCTGAAGTTTTTTAGAATCCATGTCTGTGTTCGGCTAGTTTGAGATGCTTCATGAGGGTGGCGATTATTGCTTCTACGGTTTTTGCCAACGAGGATGGGAGGCATATGGGTCTATACGAGTCTCCGACGACTGTCTTCTTCTCTGGGTGAAGAAGGGAGCTATGGGATGATCAAAGAGGCAGTGATAAACCCGACTTCGGCAGATATCGTCTTTTTCAATATTTGCGTGGAGATTGCATCTGAGCCAAATGCCTTAGATGACTTGGCGTTGCTGACAGAGGCCTGCATTTCTCCTACAGTATAGCAAGTTGGAGTGACTCGGCGGCCGAATTTGTGCGCTTTGTCCGTGGATCCGACATTGTGGTGTTGCCAATTATAAGGACTAAGTTGTTCTTTCGTTTCGCCGGATGGTAGAGATTTCCCATTCCTTCATAGTTTTTGCTTGCTCTGCATGTCTGTGTTCATTGACCAGGTTTCTAAAATCCTTGTTGCGGTACCTGTGTGGCTATTCTCAAACAAGTTAGCGAAAATTTTCGCATCGCTATCGCAAGTTGCCGATGTGTGTTATGAATGCCGTAAAGTTGAGATAGCGATACAATATTTGTCGCTAGCTCATTTGAGAATAGCCCCTCTGATTCGGAGATCGCCCGGATAGGCTTGTTGAATTCGATCACGCACATCTGCAGTTCCCGCCGGCTGGTATGAAACTAATGAAGTTTTTACCAGTTTAAATATGTTGGATTGATCGTAAATTTTAGTCATCTAGCAGACGTTTTGATTGACTTATTTCACTGGTTTTGCATTCCATTCGGTAAACTCATTGAAACAAAGTTACACATTAAACACACATTTTATTTTCCTACCTTTACTCTACAATTGCCCTTAACAACCCTCAAACCTCGCGCATGAAAAATACAGCCACTCAACCGTGACTTTATTACAGTTAACTCGAGTATTAAATTTTTTTCCATAAACCTTAATTATTGCCACAATTTTATTATCAAAAACGTAAAAAAATAAAACCGAAAAAGAGCACAAATTGGCAACACCTCAGTTCCATGGGGCGATAAAAAAAATGTTTGCAACCAACACGATTTAAGCTACCTCAATCCCCTCTAGCCACCTGTACCCGAATATGTGTATCTACAACTGGTTGCAACGTTGCACATTTAAGGTTTTTTTTGTTGTCATTACTGTTTCATACATGCATGTTGCATGCCTGCATACATATGTGTGTGTTTTATTCGTTTTTTTTTTTGTTTTTGTAGCTGTGTTGCTTACCTTTGTAGAGTTTATTNTTCAATCCCCTCTAGCCACCTGTACCCGAATATGTGTATCTACAACTCGTTGCAACGTTGCACCTTTAAGGTTTTTTTTGTTGTCATTACTGTTTCATACATTGCATGTTGCATGCCTGCATACATATGTGTGTGTTTTATTCGTTTTTTTTTTGTTTTTGTAGCTGTGTTGCTTACCTTTGTAGAGTTTATTGACACTTGCAATATTTCGCTTTACATATTTTTCTACATTGGCCGCTGTTTTTGCTGCTGCTGCTACTGCTGCTCCTACCAGCATTCGCACGTCTACTTTACAGCACTACTGCTCTCGTTCTCTCACTGTCTCTCTCACTACTTCGGCTACTGACGTTGGGACACTTTTTAGCGCTTATCTCACTTGCACTTGTACACTTGTACGTTGCTGTTTCTACACTTTTTATTGCTTTTGCTCTGTTCTGCTTACAATGCAGCGTAACAAAGCGATTACAATTTAAAATGTATGTAAATTTTCCACAACTTCGCTACAGTAATTAATACACTGTATTTGACGAAAACAAATATTATTGCACATTAATTCGTAATTTGTTGTTTACAAAATTTTCAACAAATAACCCGGATATTTAACAGTCATGCGTCCGTAATGTGTGCACAGTCCGCATTTTCTTATTGGAAGCAGCGTAAAATGTTAACCACTCACTCAATGTTACACACAAATGCACATCATGACTTTCCACTTTTTTACCATATGCCAAACTAGAGCGATCTCGCTTGCACGCATGCCAACTAACTGAATGGCACTGATTCTGTTGCTCTATTGCTTTTGTGTTTTTGTTGTTGTCTTATGAAACTCGGCGCTTGGCGGATGACACTTGATTTTTTGTTTACATTGCATTGAGTGGGCACAATGAAATGATCAAGAACAAGCAACAACAATGCAATGAGCACAAGTACACACACAAACACACGCGAGTGGACGCATGACGACGCAAACGCCGTTCAGTCGTTCTGGTTCTGCACTTCTCTGCTTCCACTGTTCTGAATACTTGTTTCTTTGTTTGATTTGTTCGCCAGCGGGAAACCAACAAGGGGAAGGGACGAATAAAGCAATAAAAGCAGAAAATTTTAAATAACCTTCAACTACTTTTTTATTTTATTTTTGCCTTTTCGCCGCACGTTGATTGCTGGCGCACTTCTTGTTTTCTTTTATTTTCACTATACTCGAGCTCGCGTACGTAGATTTCACCACCACCATTCCCACCTTAGCAAATCAAATCTGTATTTAGGACGTTGTTTTTGCTTATGCTTGGGTTTTGCGTCTTCTTATTCGTTTGGCAAATTTTCGTTTGGCCCTTCCCCAGGGATTAGGCGCTGGGGCATTAACTTCCAGATTTCGTATTTTTATAAATAAATGATTAATTTATGAAAGCTTTCTATGAAATTACCTTTTTTATGAATTCTTCTGCTCGTGAGCCCACTCAAAAGTGGCGATAGCGTATCGGTTTGAGATTTCTCTCTACTTAAATATTTCAGTGAAAAGTAGCACACTCGGCCACTTTGCCTTTGGCCATGTTGATTAACTAGCAAACAAATTTTGCTTTTGCTGCGCACAATGCGCTCGACGACGGTAGCTATTCACTATTCATAGTACACTACGCCAACCACTGACTCCTCAAGAGCCTAAAGTGAATCTCAGAATATTTCGTTTAATTGGTCTTTCTTGTCTTTGCAATTTTTTCACATATGCGCGCACATTTATTTGCAGCCGACTTGTGATTTCCACTGCTGTTTAGTCTAGGCTAAATGCGTTACATTTATTATTACTACACATATGTATTTTGTAATATAAATAAGCATTCACTCAAATGAGTCGTGCACTTATCGCAGTCTGCGCGCTACAAAATTTTTCTTCTTTTCAGATTTACAAAAATCCACTTGCAAAAAACACCGCCACCGCAAACGAAAACCGATCAACAACCTACTCCAGCTGTCACAAAAACAACACTGAACGCACTAATCGAAATAGGAACGGCTCGTAAGCGCAGTGTTGCATGCAGCAGGTGTGTTTTGGAACTTGATGTGTGGATTTCATCTGTCGGGCACAGGTGAAATATGCACAGAATTTTGTTAAACTAAATTATAAACTTGAAAGCAGTTCTACAGAGATGAAGCAATGTTTTATTTATAAACTAAACTTATAAAAGTATTTTTAAATGAACAGCTAAGATTTTAATTAAAACTTCTGAGAATAACATTAAAATCCACACCTTAGCGAAGACTACAACCATAAGTATACAAATAGTAGAGAACTTTAGTCCTAATTTAGACGACGCAAGTGCTTACAATCCATTTCAATTTCCTATGTTTCCATGTACCGTGGACTTGGGCGTTTGCAATATTTTTTCGATTTCGTATTTTGACTACCATTTGAATACATATTTTACTATATAAAAATAAAAAATATGCAAAACCAAAAATTGNAAGTAAAGTGCTAGAGGTTAGGAAAACGGGTGGGGAATTTTTGAATTTGTGTATTTTGAAAATATTAGACAAAATTGCTATCAATAATCCATTTGCGAATGTCTGGAGTTTGTAGATTCTGAACTGGTTCTAAATCAATGTAAAAGAATTAGTGGCTAGTGTTTGTAAAGCATAGCGGTATACGCAGATGTTGACCAATTTGATTTAAACGATGAATGGACAAGTATTTTGAGGGATTCTATTATCAAAGAAAGTAAAAGAAAGAAAGTAGCGGTGTGGAAAAGTTTGGGAGGTATTCGTTAACAAAAGGGCAGAAAATGGAGATTTATTATATCCATTTTAAGGATATTATATAGTTTGGTAACATCTTTGCATCATTCTAATGTTGACTGCCACCGTTTTTTTTCAATAACAGTCGGTTAAAAAAAATGAAATGGCTGTTTGTTGAAATTAATTTTGTCCTTAGAAATTATAAAATTAAAAAATAAATATGTGTATACATGCTATCTGTATTGCACATCTATGAACATACAAATGTTTCTTCAACCGAAAGCATTTTATGAATTATGTAGATACATGCAGCATGCAGATTTAGGGTTTTTATTAGTCGGATTGCTGGCAACACTGTGCACAGCTGATTTTTGTTCTCCAATCGGAAAAAATTCTACAGCAAAAACACCAACAACGAAATCTGCCACAAGTGGAGAATTTTTTGCCATTTACAATTCTCCAGTTGTGTTATACGCTAGCATTTGTTGTAGGTGGTGTATTAAATTAATTAATTAACTAGCAATTTGGTTTAAAAAGTGTATTGAGTGTTGAAAAGATATAGTTTAGTACAAATATAAAAAGAAACGCAATAAAGTTGCAGCACAAAGCAAAAAAAGTAGAATTGTAAGCTCAGTGAATCGTAGACTTTCGTGCGCGGTCAGGTGGAACGCTAGCAACAACAATACGCTTGAAGTCGGAAAATACTTATTCGAAAAGTGCATTTATGTACCTAAAGAATTACAAAAGCTGCAATTAACTGCGTTGTTAATAAAAAAATATACATATATCAGTGCTAGCCTCCCATTACTAGTAGTGCAACATAATTGTGAGAACAATAAATACTTGTCAAAATGACGAATATGCGGCCACCCAAAAAACCATCCTCTTGAAAGTGGTTATTCTCGGGGATGGCGGCGTAGGAAAATCCTGTCTGATGAATCGCTTTGTTTCAAATCGCTATGACGAAAACAACTTTCATACAATTGGCGTTGAATTTATGAATAAAAACATTGATGTGGATGGCGAGAAATACACATTGCAAGTAAGTCCAGCACAGAATTAGTACAACATGTGTGTATGTTTGAATGTATTGCTTGGTAGAAGGTGACCGAAAATTGTGTAGATATAAAATCAAAATAAGCAGAGGGATATATAACTACGCTTGATTTTTATATTTACATACATACATACATTGTTCAAATTATTAAAAGCGTTAAGCAGGAAGCCGCCATGGCAATGAGCCTCAAAGTCAAACTACTACTTCTGGTTAGGTAAGGAAATTAGTAGTAGTAGGGGTGGATAGTACAAAGTAGGTGTACAGTATGTAACTTTATTAACTTATGCTAGTTAAATGCAGGTATTCCCATTGTGTATACTTCCACATATATACATACATCAAAAATGTATATGTACTTACCTCAACCACACAGTCCTATGTATGTAGTCCACTCATCAATAATCTAAAGCTGTTAGTGCCAACTCATGAATAATGTTAGTTATTGTAAATAAAGGTGTTATGTACTTTATTTATTTTACCCGAATTTAAGATCGGTTTGCACCACTAAGCAAAGACTACAAACGAGTACGTTAGGATTTTTAATGTATAAAACTACTTAAGGTCTTAGCAAGTGCGTTGTTTTATTGCTTTGTTAGTTGTATATAAATGAGAAGACGTTTTGTTTCATGATAAAGCCAGAAATATTGTAGTTCGAATCAAATACAATGTGAGCAGCACCGCTGGACTCTCGTTACTCTGGCACAATTAAGTAAAGAGCGTGTCAGACGTGGCAATATATTTCGATTAGGGCTGATGATTTCACCCGGGTAATGAGCTACCCGGGTACCTGGGTAGCGGGTGAAGCCCTACCCGGGTATTGAATTACCCGGGTAGCCCGGGTACCCGGGTGTTTTATAACCCGGGTAGACCCGGGTAGACCGGGTACCCGGGCAGTATGGTAATTACCCGGGTACCCGGGCACCCGAAAAAATGTGGAGAGGTGAAAATTAAACGCATTTACGATCATATAACGCAAACGAACGTACATATGGAAAATCTATAAGAATCTTCCGTACCATATGGGGAAATATTATAATATACAACACATACATTGCACTTGACAAATCCGTCATTCATCACACAAGCGTACTTCCAAACCCAGCTTGTTTTAGGCATGTCTAAAGTATTAATATTTACGAAGTTGGTAATGCGCGTACAGATATCGGATCGGTAACAAATAAAATTATTGAGACACACCCACCTGCGAATCTAAACGATGACCGACAGTTGAGGCAATTTTTGTGTTGGAATGAAAAAAATTTTAAAATTTCTTCCACAATTATTTCACAACAATACGTTCATCAACCTACTTCTCGTATTAAGGAAACTTCATTAAATAATTGTGATTTTAAAAGCTTTAAATATTATGAGAAAAGAAACTATAATTTGAACAAGCTGATACAATAAAAGTACAAAATCTTTAGGTGAATGAATAGCATAAGGCTTTGTTACCTTACTTTTTGTACCAGAAGTGGCCTACCACAGGGTTTAGTTCTTATATAATTCCCAATGAGAACGTTCTCGTCAGTTTTGTTCTCATTTTGGTTTTGGTTTTGACGCGTTCTTGGGAACAAAACTACGACAATGGCATTTAGTTTCGATCATACATTTCGTTCTCAGTCCCTGTTTTAAAATATTAATATTTAATATTCTTTAAAATATACATACATACATACATATGTACACATGCATGTATGTATATGCATTTACAAAAATTAGAAGTTTGAATTTAAGTACAGAAACTAATGTTTTAATTTACTTTTCTTGTCTCCGTCTACTCAGGCAAGCGGTTAGGTGTACATAGTCGCGTACACTCTAGACATAAAAAAATAATTATAAAAAAAAAATTTCTCACTGAAAAAATATTTATCCTCACCAAAAAGATTATACAAGAAGCTTTATGTCGCATTACCCGGGTGTTTTTCGTTTAACCGGCACCAACATATGTATATTACCCGGGTACCCGGGCAAATCGGGTAATACCCGACTACCCGGGTAATAAAAGCCCCGGGTAATACCCGGGTAATCGGGTACCCGGGTACCCGGGCATTACCCGAATTACCCGGGCACCCGGGTAATACCCGGGTAACCGGGTACCCGGGTATCATCAGCCCTAATTTCGATGCAATAAATTTCGGAAAGGCTGTCAAATTGAGAAATCAGTTGCATGAGCAGTCACACCTTGCATGGAAAGTGTCTTTCGAAAGAGGTTTTTATTTCCGAACGGCGAATTGCAGGAAAAATTTCTGAAATCGCTTTTTGGCTGTTCACACAGCGAAGGAGTTTCTGGCAATCTTTCTCGATACTAAAATGCAACCATGGGCGGTGGGGTTGGCGTTTGTTTGCTATTTCTCTTATAATTAACATATTTGTCGTGTAAACAATAATTTAACGATTAAGTATATTAAACAAAATAATATATTTCAAGCATTTTTGATATTTAATTCAACAATATTTTTTATCATTTTACACAAATTCACGATCAGGGCCACACGGCAACACTCGATTAGTTTGACAGCACTTGCAGAAGAAATAAAAATTTCTAGTGCAGCACGAGCAAGTTGAAATATATTTCCGAAATCGATTTTCGCTCTTGCTGTTGCAGTCCCACCTTGCAACTTTTATTTCTGAAACTGATTTCCGAAGGGTGACAGAAACATCTTTCTGGCTGTTCACACATCGAAATAAAATTTCTCTTTCTCAATTTGACAGCGAATTGCGTGCGAAAGACGGAAATATTGCCACGTCTGACAGGCTCTTAAGGTATGCATTTTAGTGATGCACAGAACCGAGAAACCGGAACCGGCTCCTACAAAAATCGAAAAAAAACGGTTCTAACGGAATACCAT